ATATTTTAGTATGTGTACCGTATATACATTCATATGCATGTAGTAGGAAGCAGTTATTTTAATATTACAAACAGACACTCCAATTTTATTTATTTGTATAGATGCACTAAAAGACGAAGGTATAATGTAATTACACCAAACATACGGTTGAATTGAGACCTTTGAATAAACTAACTTGTTAGGGAATAGCTTCGGGTCAGAATGGGAACAAGTATCTAATAAAAATAAATACACAAAAACAATTTCTTATTAAATAGTAATGAGAATTTATTTAAATAGTAATGATAGACCTAAATTATCACATTAAATAATATTTCTTAAAAATCTAAACGTTGATACAACGCATAATTATGTAGCCTAATAAATTAAATAACTAGTTGTTAACATAACTAAACAGAAGTATCCACGATTATCTTCTTTAGTAAAAATAATATAAATGATATATTAATTGTCATATCAGAAATCATACTTATTATGTACCAGAGAAATTGTAAAACATATTTTTTTTAAAAGAGTAACCAATGGAGTTCCTTGCCCGTACCCATTCGAATCTATTTGGAACGAGCATTTAGCTTCACTAACGACAGACTACTATTTATTTTGTATTTGTTGACGTTTTAATCGTACCAAATTCTGGTTTAATTGAAATAAATGACTTCTACTTTGTCCTTGATTGTGACTTTAGTTAATAAATTCAGAGAAGATTAATAATCGATACCTATAAATAAAAATGAATCTGTGTTCGTCAGTCTCGCTAAAACTCGAGAACGGCTGAACCGATTTGGAAAATTTTGGTCTTGAAATGTTCGTGGAAGTCCAGGAAAGGTTTAAGGGGGGTTTGGAAGATTATAACTTCAAATGCTCTTTAAGTACCAGTGCACCATGGTCGGCTCTTTTGGTGGTGCTTATTGCTCATGATAGGCAGAGCGATTCAGAAGTCTGATAGCTTCATGAGAGTTTTTACATTTCATGGCCAAGAGATGGCGCTAGTGAGACGTAAGCCCCGTTTCAAAAAGACAATCGTGTATACTTCTTGTGTGTCTAGTTAAGTAAAACTGTTATTTAACGTTGTGGCTGCATCGACTGGCTGGTGATGGCGATCTCGAACTGAGGCAACGAGTTGTGGTTCTTCTTCTTCTGAACTACATCTGTGCCCCAAGCCCACTGGAAAGAAGAGAAAAATATGATTAGCACGTTTTTGTCAATATGATTGGCATTTTGATACATTTAGCAAAAGGGATTGTAATTTGTATAGTTACAATTGTATTTTTTTTTCAATCGCAAAGTCATAGCTTTACTTTATAATAAACTAGCGACCCGCCCCGGCTTCACACGGGTGTAATATGCATGTGTTATACATATAAACCTTTCTTAAGAATCACTCTATCTATTAAAAAAAACCGCATCAAAATCCGTTGCGTAGTTTTAAAGATCTAAGCATACATAGGAACAGACAGACGGCGGATAGCGACTTTGTTTTATACTGTGTAGTGATATAAATATAATGCGTGAAACGAATCTATAGTCAAATTTGGATGACCCTATCACATCTTTTGTGTTATTGATAAGAATTTGGAATATGCAATAACTTAGTACTATATTAAAGTAAAATATATTTTAACACATAAAATTGATCAATTTATCTTATCTATCACAATTTTGGCTCTGTCATCTTCCGTACGATTTAATTATTCATTTATTTATTACTGGGTAGCTATTAATACCTTATTTGATAAAATCTTCAATAAATGAGTTGAGTGTACCATTTTTTGTCAACAATTCCGAAAAGTTAATAGGTTACGAGAATAAAATCGATAAATATCCACCAAAGTTGATTGAATCCATACAAATGTAATAAAGATGAAAGAATTAAATGCTTGTATGTTTGCATAGAATAGGCTCCTAAACTGCTGGACCAATTTAAATAACTTTAAAACTTACTTTTCAGGGAGAAACTGTGAAAAGTCTTTTTGAGTTAACTTTTAGCATAGTACAGGTTACGTTTAAACCAATATTCTTACAAGATAGAGACCTATATAGGTGAAATATTTTATATTCTGCGCGGGTGTAGCCGCAGGCGTAATGCTAGTTTATTATCATGCGATGCAGGTGAACGATATTAGCCCATTACTGATATAAGATCATTAAAATAAGTAAATATTTTGAAAATACTGCAAACATGAGTCAACGACTGACTGTTGATCTAGGTACGTAATGGATACCTACATAATTAAGAAGGTAGGTATGTAAACAGGTTAATTAAGAGTTTAATTCTATTTTAAAATTATTTCAATGTTAATTATTTAGATTTTATCAAGACAATGACTTCTCAGTGGCACAGAAGATGCCTAGTTCCCGGTTTTATTACCTAAAACTCACATTACAAGCAAATATAATAATTTAAAAACTGTTTACATTACGTCTTGAATAAATGCTCACGTAGATGAACTTAAAAATAAAAATAAGAACAAAGAAGTTCTTTTCGTTCCAGAATCTTTCCATTTACTCTGCTCTAATAGAACAGTATGGTAGAAGGCTCCGGAGGTTATACGCCGGGGTCGTGCGGTCCATGGCCCTCTACGGCGCCCCTGTTTGGGCGCCTAACCTGTTGCGGCGTCCCGCTCGGACGCTGCTCATGGCACAGAGGGTCATGGCGATCCGAATGATCCGCGGATACCGCACGATCTCTGGGGAGTCGGCGAACCTCCTTGCCGGATTACCGCCGTGGGATCTGGAGGCGAAGGTGCTCGCGCGCGTGCACAGCATGCGCGCGGAGGCACGTCGCCGGGGCGAAAC